CACCTTCTGGAGTAGATACTATTATTACCATTCCCATTCTACAAATGAGAAAACAGGTTCAGCCCTGGCTGGTGTGGCTGAGTGCATTGAGTGCTGGCCCACAGACCAAAGGGTCACCCCACATGCCTGGGTTGTGGGCCGGGTCCGCAGTAGGGAGCACATGAGAGGCAGTGTCCCCAAGGTTATACATTGATGTTTCTCTCCCTCTCCTTCTCCCTCCCTTCCCCTCTGTCTAAAGATAAATAAATTTTAAAACTCTTTTTAAAAAAGGAAAACTGATGTTCAAGGAAGTAAATTTCAAATCTCATAGTTAATGTGTAGTAGATCTTTAATAACAATTATACCCCAAAGAATGTGTTCATAAGTCTACACTGCTCTCCCTTAAGAGCCTTTGCATTTCTGGAGAGGCTTCAGAAGTTCAAAAGTCTTTGCTATAAACACTCAGAGGAGAAAGTGGTCTGTTCCCCTCTTTTTCTGGTGAAATTTCTGGATGGAATAAAAATATGGAAAGCGTCAGCACTAGGTTCAGACAAACCTACATTTAAAACTTCAGCTGCACTGCTAATATGGAATGATCTCCAAAATAATTGCATATCCATAAGCTGCTTTAGAGGAAAAGACCTCCATTCAATATGTGAGACAAAACTATGAGAACTGTGCTTCCGTGACAAAGCCTCTGAACAAAGCTAATGGTGGATACAGTAGGCGCTTGGGGAAGTGTTGAGCTTGTGAACACGGAGGATTTCAGAGGCAGGAGTGCTTGGAATAGGAGGCTGTCAGCTGTGAAAGTGTAACTACTGTCAGGTGTCTATTCCTTTCAGGAAAATGGTCACTGAGGCAACGTTTCATTAATGGAGTAAACGGATTTAAAAACAGGTTCTGGTGACTACCCGTTAGGAAGATTACAGAGCAATTGTCTTCACTTAGGGATGTGGGAGCTTCTTTTTTAGTCTCTGTCTTCCCCCTTTGGCCCAAAGCTGCAGGAGAGACCCTCAAGGATTGTCCAGATCTTCACCACTGTCATTAACTTTCCTTGAAGTTCCATTTGTCCACTTACAGAGATCTTTTCAGTTTCAGTATCAGCTGGACTGTCATCTTTTTGTTTTTGTCTTTGACTCATCTGTGGAGTCATATGCTGAGCCAGTGACTGCTGGGCCACTGAATGATGATGAGACAAAAAAATAACAATGTGAAGTATTTTAAGAGACATCTGGAAGGCACTCCAGAGTTATGACTCATGATTTCCCAGGCATGACCAAAACAAAAAATTTCAAATGATTCCCTGGGTCTACTTTAGCCAGACAGGTTGCTTTTTCTTTGGGCCTAGATATCATTAACCTCAGCTGTGGTATTCATCCAGGAACAACATGAAGTGCTGGCAAAGTAGTGCGTGCTCCTCCTGATTAGCCAAAATAAAAATTCAAAGGTACTCTAATATCCATAGTTTCTTGAGCTAAGAATTGTCTATTGGTCAGCTGTGCCCTAGGACGTGGGCTGGATTATCTATTATGTTGGCCAAGGAGAGGGACAATGAACACCTTGAATTGTCCAGCTCCTGTGGAGACTCCCATCCCTAGAAGTTGGCTCCACTTGGGTTATGGATAGCCACAGGAAGGGTTTACTTCTTCTGATGCTATATAAGAAGACATAGTCCACTGAGGATCCTGGGGAGTCATACACTTGGAGTGGTCTGAGTATTGGTCACACAGAAAAATCAGTCTTAGTCCTAACCGTCAATGAAGCATCAGTCTGGTTTCCACATAAGAAACAGACCATGTGAGCAAGCAATCAGTATCATTGTCCATCTGTATTTGCTGACGGTTCCCCTTGGGAGTTTAGAAGGAGGACAGGAAAGTGTTGAGTGATAAGGTCTCCTCAGCGCTGCATCACTGGACAGATTTGGACAGCTGTCCTTCTGCCATATGGAACAGGAGTTCTTTCAACGGTTGTTCGGCTCAGGGTAAATACATGTGTCCTGATCTACACACTCCATATTCTTTAAGAACAGGGACTTCGGGTCCTGTTTCACCCAAGAAACCCTAAGATTATTTTGATTTCCAATTACTTGTTTAGGACTCTTTGAAAACAATCAGATCTACTTTGGCATCTCCCATTCCAATTACTTTTACCTAAATCTCCTATTTCAGGTCTGAGTCCATTGCAAAAAGAGAAGAAAAGTCTCCCTTAAGCTGTTGTTCTGCCCCAGAATGTTCTTTGAAACATTTTCTTTGAAGATGTTTTGAAGTCTATTAAATCTCCTCTTGATTCATCTTGATTTAGTTTGCAATTTTGAATCTTTGCACAATCTACCCTTAAGAGAAAGCCTTTTGAAATAGTTTTATGTGGTGTGTTTCCTGTTTTTCTTACCTTCTCAGGTCTACTTTTTAGATTGTATGCATAGGTGCATTACTTAAATCTTCTGGTCTTTTCCATCCTGCTGCTTTTAAATATTTTCCCCATTGTTAAAGATCAACAATTAAGTGATCACGCACAAATGTGATAGCGCAGAACAATAAATAACAGAGTAACCAACAGAGTTCTGAGTTACACAGCAAATTTCTGTCTGAAATTTGAGATTATCCTCAATTTTCCCTCAACTCAACTCTCACCCAGAGTTTAAATTCAACCTCTGTGGATCCACTTTCTGGTGTAGGGGTTTTAGGGAAATATTGTGCAATGTTGATTGTTCTTTTCTGGAGAAATGGCCGATGAAGAAAGTTTACTTAGGCAGTTAGGGAAAGGAACGAGAGGAATGTGAGTGGGTGGTAGAGGTAAAGCTAGGTGGAGAAAGAGAGAGAGATGCGAAGAAAGTAGGTTTCAGAAAGTTTGAGTAAGAGTGAGATCTTTTTTTTTTCTTTGCTTCCTTTTTGAGGCCAGAGCCTATCAATCAAAAAGAGCCTTCTATTACATGTTTGGTCTTTTTGTCTTCTCTCTTCTCTACAGACTCCCTTAAATCTCTTATTTTTGACAGTGGAAGTTTGCCATAGTGGCCGTTGTCGTTCTAAGTTGTCTAGTGAAATGTTGCCATTTATTAAGATAAACACATGAGAGTACATATAGTGAGAGTGTATATATGAAGCAGGAGTTTTTCCAGGAAGAGGCAGCAACTTTAGTGTAAATAAGACCATGAGAAACAGGAAAGAATACACTACGGTCGATCAAAAGTTTGTGCTTATGCAGAGTCTTGAACTCCTGGGTCGGGGGGAGCCTGAAAGAGGCTCTATGATCAACGGCCTGGAAATCACTGACTGCAGAAGATGAGCTCACTGCAGCGGGCTTCACTCATTGATTGAACCAGACAGAAACTGTGCTCTTGAGGGTTTTGAGGGATTCAAGGCAAATTTGTAGCAATTGCTTTGTTGATGCAAATTGATCACCTGCCCAACAGACCTCCAACCATTAGTTCTCAGGGCCAACTTGTGGTGGGAGCTTGTTCCGTTCCTTCCTTGTGAAATAATACTTCCTTCTGTATTCAACAGATATGAGCCGATCTAACACAAAGCAAAACCCCAGGAGACAAGAGTAGGTGAAGAAAATTGAAAGTAAAGCAAGCAGCAGAAAAATAAGCATATTAATGGCAAGCATATTTGCTACATGGTGCATCCCCAAAACAAAAGATCTAATTGCCTTATATAAGTTACTATAAACTACCATTTGTTTTAAAAGTCTAAGAAAATAAAATAAATTCATTAAAGAGAGCTTAGGGAAGGGTGTCAGAGCTCGAATCATGTGGAAAACCTCACAATGGGAACATCTGTGTGTGTCTAGTCGCCTGGATACGTGTAACCCAATCTATAGATTGTGCCATATTGAGTAGCTTATGTTTAGGAAGTGAAAGATTTTATATCAATTATTAAGCAGTCAAGGGTGAAAGAAAGTAAGATCAGTTAGGAAGCCATTGCCACACTGTAGGCAAGAGATGATGGTGGCTTGGCCCAGGTCGTACACAGCAGGAGAGAAGGCGAGAAACAAGTGCCCACGAATGAGATAACTCACACGGTGAACTGGCTGTTGTGAGGGACGTTAACCAAAACCTGATAACAATTTCCTAAAAGGGGGCTTTGCCACAGAAATGGGGTGTGAGAACAGGAAGCCCAGAGGCAAAGACAGCTACACAGACAAAGGAGTTTGGGACAAAAACAAGGCTTTTTCCTTCTGGACCATCAGAACTAGAAAGATCCTTGAAAAGAGCACCTAGCCTAACTTCCTCTTATTGGTGATGAGGAGCCTGAGACAAAGACGAGCATGGACTTACCTGAAACCATGTAGCAAGCTAGTGGTAGAACCAGGACCTATACCTGCAAGACGGTGCTTCTATTCCTGTTCTCACGGGGCCCACACCAGCTGGAATCATCTGGAGCCAGTGAGCCACATGAAGGGAAATGGATACACTTATCGTATGCCTAGTTCCCCAGGGGTCACTTTTAATATATTTAATGAAGCAGGCACCAATATATATTTAATATATATTCTGTGAAGCAGGCACCATGATAAAAATGAGACTCAAGAAGATTCAGGCATTTACCCAAGAACAGACACTTGCAAATGGGGTAGAACACAGATCTGCCTGGAAGCTGAACGTGCTTCTTTGCACGTCTGTGTGAACTGGGAGTGTGCTGTATGGGGGGTCCTGTCCGGACTGTGAGCACAGGTAAAGGATTGGCATTTTTCAGCTACAGCCTTATGTTTATTTAGGAAACAGCCCTGCCCAGGGACCTGGGCTCAAATTCAAGATCGGCTGATTCAACAAGGCAGCCATGCAGGCAAAGCTGGCAGAGTAGAGGCTTTGACTCATTTCCATGGGTAAGGAAATTATGTAAGAATTGGGGAAATGCCATAAGAGATGGCAACCTAGGCAGTAAGGTCTGGGCCTGCTGGCCATGGGGAACACCAGAAGACTTGGGAGAGGGGAAGGCTATCATACTTTGGGAGAGGCTGACCCAATATGACCCTCATTGCAGTAAATTTCCAATGGGCATCTGGAGTGCAGACCCGAACCCATGGCCCTCACTTGTTCTCCTCCTACAGCAGCCCACCGGAAGCTGGCCTCGAAGATCTTCTGTTTATGCTGCAGAGACTGTGAGGAGCCCCATTCCTCGGATGACTCCACAATCCCCAGTGAAACCCAGGAGCAGCAGCCTGGTAGGTACTAGACAAGGTGCCTGGCCTCTCCAGACCTCATTGTGCTCATCCCTCTCCTGCTGAGACACCCTTAGATATCCTTCAGCTTCTGAGGAATAATTCCTACACAAAATGAGATAGGAATTGGGTGGTCATGCACCCAGGCCAATAACAATAGAGCTTAAAATCTCGCACTTAAAAAGTGCGATCCATGGACCAACAATATTGGCATCACCTGGGAACTTGTTAGCGCTTCACTTTCAGACCCCACTCCAGACCTACTGGATCAGAGCCTGCATTTGAACAGAACCTTCAGGTCAATCTAAATGTATATTGTAGTTTTAGAAGCACTTTCTTAAAGATTACACATTGGTTAAGATCCCTGGCTTTAGGGCTCTGGCTAGTTCTAATCAGCTCTGCTGCAGAATCGGGCAAGTCACTTAACCTTTCACTCTGAGCCTCAGTGTCCTTACCTATCAAATGAGTGTAGTCAAAATGTGTCATTACTTTCCAGGATCAATGGGAGGATTAAATAATTAAGCACCTAGCACAGGGACTGCACAAAGCAGCCACTCAACAAATGTCAACAAAGGGAAACTCTATATGAGCCCTGGCCAGGATAGGATAGGCTCTGCTGTTCAAACAAGTCTTGAACTCTCAATGTTTACAAAATGAAAGTGTGTTTCTCGTTTATGGAAAGTCTTTAGCCAGGGCTTCTGGAACACATACCAGCCATGTACAAGGGGAGAGAGAGAGAAGGAAGTGTTTCATTACAACCCTGTTGACGATCCAAGACAGAGGTCATCGTGGAGAAGACTAGAGGTCAAAATCAACAATTTCAGACAGAAAAAATGAAGCTTTATTGTCAAGCTCAGGCAAAGCTAGCACTGACAGGCACTTGCTGGGTGGGATGAGGGCAAGGCTAGGTCAGGCATCTGGCATAGTCCTACTCAGAGAAGGGACAGTTCAAGGGCAGGAAAATATTCTCATGGCATGTTTTCCCAGAAATCTATACTGGGGGGGTCTCTGAGATACTTCCCTGGAAGTCATTTCACAATAAAAACCAAGAAACTTGAAAATGTCAGCCACACTTTCCCAAATAATAATAATGATCATTAATAAGCCCCTGTTACATGCAAGGCACTGTCTAGGCACCAGGGTCCCAGCTGTGGTCAAATGAATCCTCAACTCTTTCAGAGCTTATACGCGAGTAAAGTGCTACTATTAAATCCCTGCAATAACTATTAAGGAGTGGACATGATTATCCAAAATGGACATATCATTTTGCAGATTTGAAAAAAGGCACAGGAAGGTGAAGCAATCAGCTCAAGTTATGCAGCTAAAAGTGACAGAACTACTTATTCTATCACAAAACACAGCTCAGTCCATTGATGAAGTTCTACGTCATGCTTTTAGGAATCCAGAAGTACGGAAAAGCAAAGTCTTATATACAACAATGTTCACATAACAGTATTTATAGTAGTGAAATTTGCAAAGTCTAAACAATCAACAATAGAACAGCAGTTAAATAAACCTTGAATTAACCATAAAATAGAAAATTATACCACCATCACTTCTTGAAATTCAGTGGCATGAAAATATTTATGATGTAATGTATAAAGTAAAATGCATTCATAATGTATAAGATGTGATGGACTGTGTAAGAAATATGCATAGGAAAAGCCTGGAAGTGTGATCATATCTGAGGGGAGGGGTATTTGGGGCATTTTTTTTCCTACTTCATAGTCTTCAATATTTCCTAGCTTTTCTATGATGGTTATGCATTACATTTATAAACAGGAAAATAGTACACTTTATGTTTTAAAAAGAATATGTAGTGTCTGGCAGAAGTAAGACCTGCTTGAGTGTGGTTGGTAGGGTAATAATATGGGTGTGACAATTCACAGATTTAATTTGAACATTTCATGTAAAATGTCAAATGGGGTACTTGAGTGTGATATTGTTATGTTGCAGAATTGCATGCTTATGATTTTGTAACAAAAGATTTTGTAATAAAAAGGAATGTTATTTCTGCCAAGCTCTGTATTTTGAATCCAGCACCTGCCTATGATAGTGGCACTCAGAAGACTAGAGGTAGATCCGGGTACTCCCCATCCCGTAACTCAGCAGCTATGGGCTGTGCACACCGCTTCAGGGTGCGCGAAATGCCTTCCCCTCCGCCATCTCCTTGGAGCCTGCCCACGTGACCACATGGAATTGTCATTGCCAGGTGTGAGGAGGCTTCAGCTGGACCAACAAAATCCTAAGTATGCTAATGGAGCCCCCAGCTTGGCTTTGAGACAACCCCTGGCCCATCCAGAAAAAGACTCCACCAGCAGCAGCGATTTTGAGGGTGAGTTCCAAATTGGGATCTAGCACTGACGAAGAACCCCTGGGGGAGGGAGCCTTGTCTTGACGACCAAACCCCACTGATATTAGAGCTAAGTTAAGTGCGGTGACAGGAGAGACGGATCACTCCCATCAGGAAGGTGTAGTCATATTATAGGACACGCTGGAGAAGGGCCAAGGTGGTAAGGACCTGCCTGCATGCTCTTCCCAGCTGGGAATTGCATGAGGAGCAGCACTTGGAGGAAAGAACACACACTCACACTTCCCTTCTAGGTCCTGTGGCTTTGTCCTCTGTGTGGTTTGTGTGATTATTAGCTTAATGTCTGCTTTGGGCACCAGAAGTAAGTTCCAGGACAGGGCCTACACCAGTTTTGTGCCCCCAAATGCAGCCAGGTGCATGGCAAGTGAACGGTGTCAGAAAATGCTCATGGACTGAGCGCAGTCAGAAAGCTCAATGGGGATGACATGTCTCTGGGTCATGGAAGGACAGAAGCCCAGTCCTGGAGAGTGAGCACAGTCCAGGAAGAAGAAACAGAGCCACATTCCTGGGCACCAATGCAGGGTCCTGATGACATCACATAGCTTACAACCACCCTGTGAGGCTAGCTGTTGAGCTAAGGATCAACCAGCCCAGTCATTCCAGAATTCTCTTAAGAGCTAACCCCTGCTTGCAGTCAAAATCTCACACAAAGTCCAATTGCTGTAAGAGATAAAAGGGGTTCTACTCTACTTGACTGGAGGGAGCCCCACTAGCTAGACCCCCCCTTCCTTCTGCTATCCCCACTCCCCAAAGGGCTGCTTGAAACCTAATTTAAAAACCCACATCTCATTGTACAGAGAAGGCTGAGGTCCACAGGGGAAGGAACTTTTCCAAAAGTCCACCAGGGAGTGGCAGCATGGTCAGAACCAGGATAGGCCTAACTCTCCCACTTTCCAGGGCACTGCACTTGGCAAGACCCCCTACCGTCACTGAATGCACCCACAGAGTACCATGCACAACCACTGCAGATGGTTGGGGTCCTAACACTGGGGAATCCCTGGGGAAGTGGGCCTTGTCCCTATCACAAATGACTTTGAAGTCCGTAGCTGCAGTCTATGTGGCCCATACAGTATTCCAGAATCAGACCAGGATCAGGGATGGGGACCACTAGCACAGTCCAGCCTGGCCCAACACAAAGGCTTCACCCATATTGTTTTCCTCTCTTTCATATATGAATACAGAATGTCCCCAAAGAGGTTTTTACAAGAGAAACCTAGACCGCTACTCCCAGAATCACTGGCCATTCCAGCCATGCCTCATTGGGAGACCCTGAAAATTCTAGTTGGGGACCTTGTGCCGGCGTCCCAGGCCACACAGCTGCGAGAGTGACTCCAGGAGGAAGAGGGAGGTGAACAGGGGCCATGAAGACTGACTCGGAAACTCCCCTGAGGAGGAGACGACGTCTGAGCCATCCCTGCGCCACCAGCAAGAGTCACTTCAGCTCCTGAGAAAATCCACTTCGGGAGGAGCTGCCTCCAATTAAAGTCCATGGTCGCGTCACAGGACTGTGTCTCTTCTCGTTTCCCTCTCCCTTACCTGGGAGTGTCTCTTCCAAAATGTCTTGCCATTTTTAAATGTGCTAACCTAACATCTAACTAACTTGGAACAACTTCTGTAAACTTTTTGATAGCTTCATCTTTAATTTTGAGATACCCATAATTTCAAACTTAAAGGAAAGTTGCAACAATAGTACAAAGAGCCCCATTTCACTGTTTACCTGGATTTGCCCATTGTTGACATTTCCCCTGTTTACTTCACCATTTCTTTTCTCTCTCTCCCTATAACTTTTTTCTAACTCTTTGAGAGTATTTCCTAAGAACATGGACATTCTCTTACATAACTGCAGTACAATGATCAAAAGCAAGAAATTCAACATTGATGCAATGCTATTCAAATGTCATCAGTTGTCCCACAAAAGTCTTACAGCTCCTTTTCCACCCAGTTCAGGATCTAATCCAAGACCATCAGCTGCGTGCAGTAGTCACGTCTGTGTTCTCTCTAATCTGGTACCTCTATGGTGTTGACTCCTTCTGTCTGCAAATGGTTCTTCATTTGTTCAAACCTACTCTTCCGTCTCTCATGGCTATTATTAAATGGTCTTTGTATAAATTTGGCACATTTCTTATTAAATTTATTCCTAAGTATTTTATCTTTTCTGTTGCCATTGTCAATGGGGTTTTTCCTCTTATCATTAGGGCTGTAACCAGTTACTGCTTGCGTATATTAACACTGTTGAGGTAACTATTATTTTATGTATTGCCTCCCTTCTAAATTACACCATTGTTTGAGCTAGTTTTGTTATTCATTCCCTTATGCTTACCAGGAATGTTACTATGCCATCTGCAAGTAGAGATACTTTAGCTTCTTTTTCTAATTCTTAAATCTCTGATTTATCTCATCTAATTACAATGGCTAATACCACCAGTACAATGTTAAGTAGTGGAGATAGTGGATATCTGTGTTTTTTAAGAGAAATACCTCTATTGTTTGCCCATTAAGAAAGAAGCTCATTTTTAAGACAAAGAGATTGAGGTAGAGATATATCATATTAAGAAAATATCCATCAAATCCCTTTTCCTTTTTTTTCAGCACCTATGAAGGAAAAAAATCTCTCCTATTTCACTGACTTCCCATTCCACAAAGAAATTCCACCCACTCATAATGTATTATTTTCATAAAATGAAGTTTGAGTCAGTTCACTAATATTGTATTTAATAGTTTTGTATCAATAGGTGATATCAGTCTAATTTTTTCGCATTGCCTTTATCAGACAGCTATCAATATTCTATACTTGCTTAATTAAAAAAAGTCATAAAAAGACCTTGGAAGCTTGCTTTTGTTGTACATGCCCTAGAACAATTTACGTAGCATTGGAACTGCCTGGTCTTTGAAAGTTTAGTAGAATTCCCCTGTGAAACCATCTGCGCCAGCTGCCTTTTCTTTTTGGCAGGGTGGGGTCGGGTAGTTTCTCTATTTCTTCTCTAAAAATTGATGGAGTTTCCTGTCTCTGATGCGGCTATTTTGATAAACTGTATTTCCCTAGGAAATTATTTACTTCTAGTTTTTCAACTGTGTTTGCATAAAGGTACATAAAGTGCTCTCGATATTTTTGAAATTGATCTCAATGTTTATTTTTCCCTTAACCTTTCTAATTTTATATGTTCATGTTGTCCCCCTCTTTCCTGGTTAAGTAACATAGTATTCTATTTTGTTTATTCTTTGTAAAATATTTTATCAATTAGATCCACTTTTTTTTTTAATCCTGTATGTAAGTAATTTCAGGTTTTACTCTTCGGTATTTCTTTTTCTTGAATAATCTTTGATTATCTTGATGTTCTTTTCCTAGAGTTTTGAATTGGGGATTTATTTATTTCATTTATTCCAATATTTAAGGACTATGGTAGGCAGAATAATGCCTCCCCCCCCAAAAAAAACCACCTATGCCCTATTTCTCCAAACCTGTGAATGTGTTGCCTTACCTAACTAAAGGGATAAAGGACACGCGTACAGTTCAGGGTGCTAGTCAGCCAACTGAGGTGGGGACAGTGAGCCCATGTAATCACAAGGGAGAATCTTGAATCTCTGCAGCCCCCTCGGGCTCATTTCTGTCGCCATAGCACAGAGATCAGGACAGGAGGAGGGACAGTGGTGGCAGCTGATAAAGCACAGCATTTCCTCCCTAGCAGAGAAGGACCTAAAGTGGTACAATCCATGTGTAAAACAATTTAACAATATCAACCCTGAACCTTTAAAATGCCCCAGCCTCTGATCCATCATCCTCTTTCTGCCAAATCATCAGCAGTGTCACCTTGACCAAGGTGCCTAATAAACATTCTGAACCTCAGTTCCCAGTTCCTGGGCCCTGTGACATCACAGACGGCCCTTCTCTGCCCCACCAGCCACAGGTGAGTGAGGCTCAAAGGTCAGGCCTGAGAGCAGGAGAAGGTATTTGTTCTGTAGTGAAGGGAGACACTGTCTCCACCACTCCTGGACACCTTTTCGCTTTGCTGCAGGAAGCAGCCATTGCCTCTAACTTTGTTTCTCTCTGGGTCCCAGTCTCCCCACCTGTGCTAAATGACCCCTAAGGACTCCTCCAGCTCCAGAAGAAGCCTTCCTGTTTGACTTTGTGGATCTTTCTTGTTCTGATCCAAGTGCTGTGGAGTCACTGGAGACCCGAAGGTCACAGCCCACAGGGGACACCCCAGGGCCCTTTTTTTTTTTTTTTTTGGCTGCTACTTCCATCTAGAGGAGGGCACTGGAAGTGCAAGAATCACCACACCCCACCTGCCTCAGCCAGCATCATTTGCTTTATTGAGCACTTACTGTGTGCCAGACACCGTGCTAAGCACTTCACATCTTTATGCCAGCCAATCCTCACAAAAACATTCTGGGATAGGTTTTACCATTTCCGTTTTACAGTTACGAAGACTGGGGTTGGAGGAGGTTGAATTGCTCTAAATTACACGGCAAGGTCCAGTAAGAATTACATTCCACCTCCACCTAAGTAAAAAATGTGTGCTCTGAATTGCTCTGCTGCTCTGCCAAGTTTCAGGAGCAGCCTTTCCATTTGAAAACCAGCTTCCATGAACTCTCAGAAGATAAGATGGTTCTGGACATTTCTCTTCCTCTGGAATTGCCTGTAGTGTGAGGCCGTAGACAGCAAAGGCTCCGGCACCAGACAAAACTATGTTAAAATTCCCACTGCTCTCTTGGCTATAAGACCTGAGAAAGTCACCTTTCTGAAGCTCAGTTCCATCATCTGAAAGTGGGACAAAGTCCTGCCTTGTAGAGTGAAGGTGTAAGTTAAGTGAGCTGATAAGTCATGTCAAAGGACCTGTCCAAGATGCTCAATGAATGCCACTGTCCTTGACACCTTGGCTGTTTCTCTTCCCTTGTTTATCTTCCAAGACTGAAGTCACTGGGAAAACAAGGTAAGCCCAGAATCAGCATGTGTCTATCCATGTCTATGATCAGGGAGTAAAACACCTGTTAGTAGAAGGAGAATGGGGATAATTTGTGGTATATTGTTGTCCAACAGTCAGAGAAGGCTCATGGGTTTATTCCTCAATAATGAGAGGGCACCTACTCTGTGCAAAGCCCCATGCCTAGTGCTGGGGTCCAAAGGTGAACTGGACCCATGTCTGCCTCCTTGAGAGCAAGAATCTCTTGCTCATGTTCATGGTCATGTCTCTCACATGGTACCTCACACCAGTAGGTCCCCAGTAAATATATGCTGAACAAATTGTCTGATTCTCAAACATGGACAAGGCTATGGAGAAGAGTGAGGTGGGGAAGGTAAGAGGGAGCTCCAGGGGGAGAAAGGGGGTTTAAATAGGATGACTTAAATAAGGTGAATAGGTCAGAAGATTTCTCTAGAAAAGGTGACCCTTAAGCAAGGCTTAAGGAGGTGAGGGAATGAGTCACTCAGACCTCTGGACAAGAGCATTGCCCAGCCAAAAGAAAAGCCCATGCAAAGGCAGCTAGAATGCAGCGGAGGAGAGGGAGACCGCAGGAAGGTAGTTTTAGATTATGAATTTGGCCACAGGAAGGGGGCATGAGAGTGGGAGGTGGCCAGGGGCCTAGAAGAGAGAAAGGAGTCTGGGAATAAGATAAGAACATACAACCTTGGACCTTGGATCATCAGAGATGGAAGGATCCTTAGAGAGATGATACAGCCCAACACCACCTGTTACAGGTGGGAGCCTAGGCCCAGAGACAGGCATGGACTAACCCAAAGCCACACAGCAATTTAGTGCAGAGCCAGGGTTTGAACCAGCAAGGCCGAGCTGCAGCATCATGCTCCCATGGGACCAGGCCCAGCTGGAATAGACGGGAGCCAACAAGCTACAGGAAGGAATGGGAATGGAAAGAGAATGAGCACTGAGCCAGCAGCTATGTGCACCTGCCATCACAGTGCTCACTTTATATGCAGTTAACCGCAGTGGTTCCGCCACGGTGGGCACTTATTCCCATATTCCAGATAGGATAGCGAGGCTCCGAGGGTTTATAGAATCAGCCCATGAGCAGACACTTGGAACCCAGTAGATAAACCTGACTTCTAAATGCTTATCTAGGGGCACTACTGCGTACATGTGCTGGGCTCTGCTGCCACAAGTCCCAGCAGAGAGAGATTTTCATTGTCTAGTCAGTCTTACATTCATTCAGGAAATAGCCCCGCCCAGAGAACTGTGTTGCACGTCCACGTTTGCTGATTCAACAAGGTGCTTCTGCAGGTAGACCATCAGAGTAGAGGCTCCAGGCTCTTTCCTGGGT